CACTTACTATCCCACTACACTAACCATCTCACTACACTTACTATCTCACTACACTCACTAAATCACTATCTCACTACACTTACTGTCACTACAATTACTATCTCACTACACTCATTATCTCACGCTCACTACACTCACTACATTCACTATCTCAGTCACACTACATGTATCACCTCACTACACTTTCTATCTCACTACACTTACTGTCTCACTACACTTACTATCTCACTACACTCACTAGCCACTACACTTACTTAACTTACTGTTTCACTATCTCACTACACTTACTGTTATTCACTACAATTACTATCTTACTACACTCACTATCACACACACTACACTCACTATCTCATTACACTTACTATCTCATTATCTCACTACAGTCACTATCTCACTCTCTCACTAATCTCACTACACTTACTATTTCACTACACTTACTATGTCACAAAATTTACTGTCTCACTATCTCACTATACTTACTATCTCATCTCACTACACTTGCTATGTCACTACGATCACTATCTCATAACACTCACTATCTCACTACACTTACTTTCTCACTAAACTTACCATCTCACTACTCTCACTATTTCATTACACTTACTATGTCACTACAATTACTATCTCAGTACCCTCTCTCACTAAACATACTTTCTCATTGTGTCACTAGACTAACCATCTCACTACACTTACTATCTCACTACACTCACTAGCTGTCTCATCTCACTACACTTACTATTTCACTACACTCACTATCTCACTACATAATCTCACTACACTCAGTATCTCACTGTTTCACTACATTTACCATCTTACTACACTTACTATCTCACTACACTCACTATCTCACTCTCTCTACACTTACACTCTGACTACACTTACCATCTCACTAAACTTACTATCTCACTACACTTACTTTCTCACTACACTCAATATCCCACTACACTTACTATCTCACTACACTTACTATTTCACTGTCTCACTACATTTACCATCTTACTACACTTACTATCTCACTACACTCACTATCTCACTCTCTCTACACTTACACTCTGACTACACTTACCATCTCACTAAACTTACTATCTCACAACACTTACTTTCTCACTACACTCAATATCCCACTACACTTACTATCTCACTGTCTCACTACACTTACTATCTCACTACACTCACTATCTCACTGTCTCACTACACTTACCATCTCACTATCCCACTACACTCACTATCTCACTACACTCACTATCTCACTCTCACTACACTCATTTTCTCACTATGCTTACTATCTCACTGTCTCACTACACTTACTATCTCACTACACTCACTATCTCACTGTCTCACTACACTTACCATCTCACTATCTCACAACACTTACTTTCTCACTACACTCAATATCCCACTACACTTACTATCTCACTGTCTCACTACACTTACTATCGCACTACACTCACTATCTCACTGTCTCACTACACTTACCATCTCACTATCCCACTACACTCACTGTCTCACTACACTTACTATCCCACTACACTAACCATCTCACTACACTTACTATCTCACTACACTCACTAAATCACTACACTTACTTCACTTACTGTCTCACTATCTCACTACACTTACTTTCTCACTACACTCACTATTCCACTACACTTACTATCTCACTGTCTCACTACACTTACTATCTCACTATCTCACTACACTCACTATCTCACTGTCTCACTACACTTACCATCTCACTATCCCACTACACTCACTATCTCACTACACTCACTATCTCACTCTCACTACACTCATTTTCTCACTACGCTTACTATCTCACTTTCTCACTACATTTACTATCTCACTGTCTCACTATCTCACTACACTTACTGTCACTACAATTACTATCTTACTACACTCAATATCTCACACTCACTACACTCACTAGCTCAGTCTCACTACATGTATCACCTCACTACACTTACTATCTCACTACACATACTGTCTCACTATCTCACTACACTTACCATCTCACTATCCCACTACACTCACTATCTCACTACACTCACTTTCTCACTACACTTACTATCTCACTGTCTCACTACACTTGCCATCTCACTATCCCACTACATTCACTATCTCACTACACTTACTATCTCACTATACTTACTGTCACTACAATTACTATCTCACTACACTCACTATCTCAGTCCCACAACATTTAACATCTCACTACACTTACTATCTCACTACACTTACTGTCTCACTGTCTCACTATACTTACCATCCCACTACACGTACTATCTCATTATCTCACTACAGTCACTATCTCACTACACTCTCACTAAACTCACTATCTCACTACACTCACTGTCTCACTACACTCAGGATTGCACTCTCACTACACGTACTATCTCACTACACGTACTCTCTCACAACACTCACTAACTCACTACACTTACTCTCACTACCCTTACTATCTCATTACACTCACTCTCTCACTACACTTACTATCTCACTACACTTACTAGCTCACTGTCTCACTACAATTACTTTCTCCCCTACCCTCACTATCTCACTACACTTACTACACTCACTATCTCACTACACTTACTTCCTCACTACATTTAATGTTTCACTACACTTACTATCTCATTATCTCACTAGTCACTATCTCACTACACTCTCTCACTAATCTCACTGTCTCACTACACTTACTATCTCACTACACTTACTAGCTCACTGTCTCACTACAATTACTTTCTCACTACCCTCACTATCTCACTACACTTACTACACTCACTATCTCACTACACTTACTTCCTCACTACATTTAATGTTTCACTACACTTACTATCTCATTATCTCACTAGTCACTATCTCACTACACTCTCTCACTAATCTCACTGTCTCACTACACTTACTATCTCACTAAATTTACTATCGCATTATCTCACTACACTTACGATCTCACCGCACATACTATCTCACTACACTTAATGTCTCACAACCCTTACTATCTCACTATCCTTACTATCTCACTCTCTCTACACTTATCTCACTAACTATCTCACTATCCTTACTAACTTTCTGTCTCTACACTTAATATCTCGCTATACTTACTATCTCACTACACTGATCTCACTACATTTACTATCTCACCACACTTACTATCTCACCACACTTACTATCTCACCACACTTACTATCTAACTATACATACAGTGAGGGAAAAAAGTATTTGATCCCCTGCTGATTTTGTATGTTTCCCACTGACAAAGACATGATCAGTCTATAATTTTAATGGTAGGTTTATTTGAACAGTGGGAGACAGAATAACAACAAAAAAATCCAGAAAAACGCATTTGTCAAAAATGTTATAAATTGATTTGCATTTTAATGAGGGAAATATGTATTTGACCCCTCTGCAAAACATGACTTAGTACTTGGTGGCAAAACCCTTGTTGGCAATCACAGAGGTCAGACGTTTCTTGTAGTTGGCCTCCAGGTTTGCACACATCTCAGGAGGGATTTTGTTCCACTCCTCTTTGCAGATCTTCTCCAAGTCATTAAGGTTTCGAGGCTGACGTTTGACAAACTCGAACCTTCAGCTCCCTCCACAGATTTTCTATGGGATTAAGGTCTGGAGACTGGCTAGGCCACTCCAGGACCTTAATGTGCTTCTTCTTGAGCCACTCCTTTGTTGCCTTGGCCGTGTGTTTTGGGTCATTGTCATGATGGAATACCCATCCACGACCCATTTTCAATGCCCTGGCTGAGGGAAGGAGGTTCTCACCCAAGATTTGACGGTACATGGCCCCGTCCATCGTCCCTTTGATGCGGTGAAGTTGTCCTGTCCCCTTAGCAGAAAAACACCCCCAAAGCATAATGTTTCCACCTCCATGTGGGGATGGTGTTCTTGGGGTCATAGGCAGCATTCCTCCTCCTCCAAACACGGCGAGTTGAGTTGATGCCAAAGACCTCGATTTTGGTCTCATCTGACCACAACACTTTCACCCAGTTCTCCTCTGAATCATTCAGATGTTCATTGGCAAACTTCAGACGGCCCTGTATATGTGCTTTCTTGAGCAGGGGGACCTTGCGGGCGCTGCAGGATTTCAGTCCTTCATGGCGTAGTGTGTTACCAATTGTTTTCTTGGTGACTATGGTCCCAGCTGCCTTGAGATCATTGACAAGATCCGCCCTTGTAGTTCTGGGCTCTTTGATCTTGGCCATGGTGGAGAGTTTGGAATCTGATTGATTGATTGCTTCTGTGGACAGGTGACTTTTATACAGGTAACAAACTGAGATTAGGAGCACTCCCTTTAAGAGTGTGCTCCTAATCTCAGCTCGTTACCTATATAAAAGACACCTGGGAGCCAGAAATCTTAATGATTGAGAGGGGGTCAAATACTTATTTCCCTCATTAAAATGCAAATCAATTTATAACATTTTTGACAAATGCGTTTTTCTGGATTTTTTTGTTGTTATTCTGTCTCTCACTGTTCAAATAAACCTACCATTAAAATTATAGACTGATCATTTCTTTGTCAGTGGGCAAACATACAAAATCAGCAGGGGATCAAATACTTTTTTCCCTCACTGTACTATCTCACTATACTTACTATCTCGCTATACTTACTATCTTACTACACTTACTATCTCATAATCTCACTATACTTACTATCTCACCACACTTACTATCTCGCTATACTTACTATCTCATTATCTCACTACACTTACTATCTCATTATCTCATTACACAAACTATCTCACTATCCTTACTATCTCACTGTCTCACTACACTTACTATCTCACTATCTCACTACGCTTACCATCTCACTATCACAGTAAACTACACAGGCCCTCAAAGTTCTTTCATCTTTAGATTTGGCAGACTAATGTAAAATGTAGGGTAATGATATATGCACATATCACCCCACTCATTGAATCATTCCAGCACTATGTAAAGGGTCAGGGTTGCTCATGCACTAATGTGTTTCTGTTTGTTGACCTCTTAGAGACTTGGCACCAAGAGACATTTCTGGAACCTCTGACCCCTTTGCCAGAATCCTCTTCAATAACCACAGTGCAGAGACTTCGGTGAGGAGGGAGATGAGCTGGATAACATGTACATGACTGAATTAATCGCCAACTTTAGTGGAGACAAAGACTGATTATGTGAAATACTATATGAAATGTTTTTCTTCTGTGTTTGTCTGTCAGATCATTAAGAAGACTCGTTACCCACACTGGGGTGAGACCCTGGAGTTGGAGCTTGAGACAGAGGAGCTGTCTGAGGGAGGTACTGTCACAGTGGAGGTCTGGGACTGGGACATGGTGGGCAAAAATGACTTCCTGGGAAAGGTGAAGAGGTTATGTTTCTAAAGTCCAATCCCTCTTACTTATGTTAATCTATGAGGACATGTTATACTTATTTCTACTATATACAATGATTCATACTTTTACAAATACAAATACAGTGGGGAAAAAAAGTATTTAGTCAGCCACCAATTGTGCAAGTTCTCCCACTTAAAAAGATGAGAGAGGCCTGTAATTTTCATCATAGGTACACGTCAACTATGACAGACAAAATGAGGGAAAAAAATCCAGTAAATCACATTGTAGGATTTTTAATGAATTTATTTGCAAATTATGGTGGAAAATAAGTATTTGGTCAATAACAAAAGTTTCTCAATACTTTGTTATATACCCTTTGTTGGCAATGACACAGGTCAAACGTTTTCTGTAAGTCTTCACAAGGTTTTCACACACTGTTGCTGGTATTTTGGCCCATTCCTCCATGCAGATCTCCTCTAGAGCAGTGATGTTTTGGGGCTGTCGCTGGGCAACACAGACTTTCAACTCTCTCCAAAGATTTTCTATGGGGTTGAGATCTGGAGACTGGCTAGGCCACTCCAGGACCTTGAAATACTTCTTACGAAGGCACTCCTGGCGGTGTGTTTGGGATCATTGTCATGCTGAAAGACCCAGCCACGTTTCATCTTCAATGCCCTTGCTGATGGAAGGAGGTTTTCACTCAAAATCTCACGATACATGGCCCTATTCATTCTTTCCTTTACACGGATCAGTCGTCCTGGTCCCTTTGCAGAAAAACAGCCCCAAAGCATGATGTTTCCACCCCCATGCTTCACAGTAGGTATGGTGTTCTTTGGATGCAACTCAGCATTCTTTGTCCTCCAAACACGACGAGATGAGTTTTTACCAAAAAGTTATATTTTGGTTTCATCTGACCATATAACATTCTCCCAATCCTCTTCTGGATCATCCAAATGCACTCTAGCAAACTTCAGACGGGCCTTGACAAGTACTGGCCTAAGCAGGGGGACACGTCTGTCACTGCAGGATTTGAGTCCCTGGCGGCGTAGTGTGTTACTGATGGTAGGCTTTGTTACTTTGGTCCCAGCTCTCTGCAGGTCATTCACTAGGTCCCCCCGTGTGGTTCTGGGATTTTTGCTCACCGTTCTTGTGATCATTTTGACCCCACAGGGTGAGATCTTGCGTGGAGCCCCAGATCGAGGGAGATTATCAGTGGTCTTGTATGTCTTCCATTTCCTAATAATTGCTCCCACAGTTGATTTCTTCAAACCAAGCTGCTTACCTATTGCAGATTCAGTCTTCCCAGCCTGGTGCAGGTCTACAATGTTGTTTCTGGTGTCCTTTGACAGCTCTTTGGTCTTGGCCATAGTGGAGTTTGGAGTGTGACTGTTTGAGGTTGTGGAAAGGTGTCTTTTATAATGATAACAAGTTCAAACAGGTGCCATTAATACAGTTAACGAGTGGAGGACAGAGGAGCCTCTTAAAGAAGAAGTTACAGGTCTGTGAGAGCCAGAAATCTTGCTTGTTTGTAGGTGACCAAATACTTATTTTCCACCATAATTTGCAAATAAATTCATTAAAAATCCTACAATGTGATTTTCTGGAGAAAGAAAATCTCAATTTGTCTGTCATAGTTGACGTGTACCTATGATGAAAATTACAGGCCTCTCTCATCTTTTTAAGTGGGAGAACTTGCACAATTGGTGGCTGACTAAATACTTTTTTTCCCCACTGCAGTTTCAGTTTAGTGTATGATGTATTGGTTATTTGTTTTCATGCTCAGGTGGAAATCCCTTTTGCTTGCCTGCACAAGACACCTCTGGTACAGGGTTGGTTTCGTCTGCTGCCCCTGGGAAACAATGAGGATGATGCTGGGTAAGGAGTGTGTGGGTGTTAGTGTGGTTTTGTGGATGTGTATCGGTTTGTGTTTGTGTGTGTAAGAGAGAGAGGGAGGGGGGGTGTTTTTTAAAATATATATGACTTGAGGACATACAGTGCATTCTGAAAGAATTCAGACCCCTTGAGTTTTTCAAAATGTTGTACGTTACAGCCTTATTCTAAAATTAATTAAATTGTTTTTTTCCCCCCTCATCAATCTACACACAATACCCCATAACGACAAAGCAAAATAGGTTTTTAGAAATGTTAGAACATTTATAAAATAAAATAAAACGGAAATATCACATTTACATAAGTATTCAGACCCTTTACTCAGTACTTTGTTGAAGCACCTTTGGCACCGATTACAGCCTCGAGTCTTCTTGGGTATGATGCTACAAGCTTGGCACACCTGTATTTGTGGAGATCCTCACATTCTTCTCTGCAGATCCTCTCAAGCTCTGTCAGGTTGGATGGGGAGTGTCGCTGCACAACTATTTTCAGGTCTCTCCAGAGATGTTAGATCGGGTTCAAGTCCGGGCTCTGGCTTGGCCACTCAAGGACATTCAGAGACTTGTCCCGAAGCCACTCCTGCGTTGTCTTGGCTGTGTGCTTAGGGTCGTTGTCCTGTTGGAAGGTGAACCTTCACCCCAGTCTGAGATCCTGAGCGCTCTGGAGCAGGTTTTCATCAAGGATCTCTCTGTACTTTGCTCCGTTCATCTTTCCAACAGGATGGTGCAAGGTTTCCTCCAGACGTGAGCTTGGCATTCAAGCCAAATAGTTGAGTCTTGGTTTCATCAGACCAGAGAATCTTGTTTCTTATGGTCTGAGTCCTTTAGGTGCCTTTTGGCAAACTCCAAGTGGGCTGTCATGTGCCTTTTACTGAGGAGTGGCTTCCGTCTGGCCACTCCACCATAAAGGCCTGATTGGTGGAGTGCTGCAGAGATGGTTGTCCTTCTGGAAGGTTCTACCATCTTCACAGAGGAACTCTGGAGCTCTGTCAGAGTGACCATCGGGTTCTTGGTCACGTCGTTGACTAAGGCCCTTCTCTCCTGATTGCTCAGTTTGGCCTGGCGGCCAGCTCTAGGAAGAGTCTTGGTGGTTCCAAACTTCTTCCATTTAAGAATGATGGAGGCCACTATGTTCCTGGGGACCTTCAATGCTGCAAAAAAAATGTGGTACCCTTCCCCAGATCTGTGCCTCGACACAATCCTGACTCGGAGCTCTACGGACAATTCCTTCGACCTCATGGCTTGGTTTTTGCTCTGACATGCACTGTCAACTGTGGGACCTTATATAGACAGGTGTGTGCCTTTCCAAATCATGTCCAATCAATTGAATTTACCACAGGTGGACTCCAATCAAGTTTTGGAAACATCTCAAGGATGATCAATGGAAACAGGATGCACCTGAGCTCAATTTCGAGTCTCATAGCAAAGGGTCTGAATATTTATGTAAATAAGGTATTTCAGTGTTTTACTTTTAATAAAGGGGCAAAAAAATTCAAAAAGCCTGTTTTTGCTTTGTCATTATGGGGTATTGTGTGTAGATAGATGAGCTTTTTATTTATTTATTCAATTTTAGAATAAGGCTGTAACGTAACAAAATGTGGGAAAAGTCAAGGGGTCTGAATACTTTCCGAATGCAATGCACTGTATTGGTCCCCCCCTAATGCCAGAGGCCACAATTGACGTCAGTTGTTTGTCTGGTGTCTTGTCCGAGATGGTTATTTTATTTCAGTTTTTTTGGTATTTTTCCCTTTTCAACGTGCGTACACACGCACACACACACATAGACAGAGAGTCATTAGGGAGTGAGTCACAGCTTTAGGTGGGGCGTTTGTTCGGGAGGGAATGAAAATATACTATCAGAAGGGAGGCCTGTCACTCCCAACATGGCAGGGGACAGGAAACTATAAAAAATAACCATTACAGGGTGTTTGTTGCACATCATACCTCGCATGGCAAGCCACCAAACATAATATATCCCCAGTGTGGGCACATTCCCTTGGTAATGCTCAGCACTGCCTGTGCTATAACATGCTTGTGCTAAGCGAACTTCTTGTGAGTATTGTTTAAGAGTGTCGTGACTGTAGTGTCTCTGAGACATCTCTCTCTCTCTCTGTCCATAGAGGTAAGCTGGGTGCGCTGCGTCTGAAGGTACGTCTGGTGGAGGACCATATCCTGCCCTCCATGTACTACCAGCCTCTCATTGACCTGCTGGTGCAGTCAGTCATCTCTCCTGCTGAGGTCAACATCACACTGCTGTCACATACACAACCCATTGTTATTAACTCATTCTACAGGATATTTTTCTGATTTGTTCAACCACTAATGTATTACATTTTTCATGCCATATGAAGATGCCATGGTGCGTGATTCCTTTCTATGAAAATATATTTCCTTCTTTAGATTTCTTAGAATATGCCACATCCTTCCACCACAGGGTTTATACAGTATATAGAGCCTACTGTGCCCCATGGCTGACAGACACATAGCCAGCTTCCTCTCATAAATGAACACCTGGCTAATAGGCCTTGACTATCTCCACCCTCTGACCCACCCCAGGTGGAGGACGGCAGCCCCCTGAACATGCTGGAGGAGGTGACCACGGTGGAGAGCCGGCAGGACGTGGCCATGACCCTGGTCAAGATCTACCTGGGGAAGGGCCTGGTGGTGCCCTTCCTGGACTACCTCAACACCCGCGAGGTCAACCACACCTGTAAGAGACACTGGCTGGCTGGGGAATTTAACAAAGGACAGGAAAGTCATATTTTTGAGCGTAATGCTTTTCTAGATGCTCTTGTCAAAAATCATGGTTACAGTTGAAGTCTGAAGTTTAGATACACCTTAGCCAAGTACATTTAAATTCAGTTTTTCACAATTCCTGACATTTAATCCTAGTAAAAATTCCCTGTCTTAGGTCAGTTAGGATCACCACTTTATTTTAAGAATGAGAAATGTCAGAATAATTGTAGAGAGAATGATTTATTTCAGCTTTTTATTTATTTCATCACATTCCCAGTGGGTCAGAAGTTTACATACACTCAATTATTATTTGGTAGCATTGCCTTTAAATTGTTTAACTTAGGTCAAATGTTTCAGGTAGCCTTCCACAAGCTTCCCACAATAAGTTGGGTGAATTTTGGCCCATTCCTCCTGATACAGCTGGTGTAACTGAGTCAGGTTTGTAGGCCTCCTTGCTCGCACACGCTTTTTCAGTTCTGCCCACACATTTTCTATAGGATTGAGGTCAGGGCTTTGTGATGGCCACTCCAATACCTTGACTTTGTTGTCCTTAAGCCATTTTGCCACAACTTTGGAAGTATGCTTGGGGTCATTGTCCATTTGGAAGACCCATTTGCGACCAAGCTTTAACTTCCTGACTGATGTCTTGAGATGTTGCTTCAATATATCCACATAATTTTCCTTCCTCATGATGCCATCTATTTTGTGACGTGCACCAGACCCTCCTGCAGCAAAGCACCCCAACAGCATGATGCTGCCACCCCGTGCTTCATGATTGGGATGGTGTTCTTTGGCTTGCAAGCAACCCCCTTTTTCCTCCAAACATAACGATGGTCATTATGGCCAAACAGTTCTATTTTTGTTTCATCATACCAGAGGACATTTCTCCAAAAAGTATGATCTTTGTCCCCATGTGCAGTTGCAAACCGTAGTCTGGCTTTTTTATGGCGGTTTTGGAGCAGTGGCTTCTTCCTTGCTGAGCGGCCTTTCAGGTTATGTTGATATAGGACTCGTTTTTACTGTGGATATACAGTGGGGAGAACAAGTATTTGATACACTGACGATTTTGCAGGTTTTCCTACTTACAAAGCATGTAGAGGTCTGTAATTTTTATCATAGGTACTATTCAACTGTGAGAGATGGAATCTAAATTGTATGATTTTTAAGTACTTAATTTGCATTTTATTGTATGACATAAGTATTTGATACATCAGAAAAGCAGAACTTAATATTTGGTACAGAAACCTTTGTTTGCAATTACAGAGATCATACGTTTCCTGTAGGTCTTGACCAGGTTTGCACACACTGCAGCAGGGATTTTGGGCCACACCTCCATACAGACCTTCTCCAGATCCTTCAGGTTTCGGGGCTGTCGCTGGGCAATACGGACTTTCAGCTCCCTCCAAAGATTTTCTATTGGGTTCAGGTCTGGAGACTGGCTAGGCCACTCCAGGACCTTGAGATGCTTCTTACGGAGCCACTCCTTAGTTGCCCTGGCTGTGTGTTTCGGGTCGTTGTCATGCTGGAAGACCCAGCCACGACCCATCTTCAATGCTCTTACTGAGGGAAGGAGGTTGTTGGCCAAGATCTCACGATACATGGCCCCATCCATCCTCCCCTCAATACAGTGCAGTCGTCCTGTCCCCTTTGCAGAAAAGCATCCCCAAAGAATGATGTTTCCACCTCCATGCTTCACGGTTGGGATGGTGTTCTTGGGGTTGTACCCATCCTTCTTCCTCCTCCAAACACGGCGAGTGGAGTTTAGACCAAAAAGCTCTATTTTTGTCTCATCAGACCACATGACCTTCTCCCATTCCTCCTCTGGATCATCCAGATGGTCATTGGCAAACTTCAGACAGGCCTGGACATGCGCTGGCTTGAGCAGGGAGACCTTGCGTGCGCTGCAGGATTTTAATCCATGACGGCGTAGTGTGTTACTAATGGTTTTCTTTGAGACTGTGGTCCCAGCTCTCTTCAGGTCATTGACCAGGTCCTGCCGTGTAGTTCTGGGCTGATCCCTCACCTTCCTCATGATCATTGATGCCCCACGAGGTGAGATCTTGCATGGAGCCCCAGACCGAGGGTGATTGACCGTCATCTTGAACTTCTTCCATTTTCTAATAATTGCGCCAACAGTTGTTGCCTTCTCACCAAGCTGCTTGCCTATTGTCCTGTAGCCCATCCCAGCCTTGTGCAGGTCTACAATTGTATCCCTGATGTCCTTACACAGCTCTCTGGTCTTGGCCATTGTGGAGAGGTTGGAGTCTGTTTGATTGAGTGTGTGGACAGGTGTCTTTTATACAGGTAACGAGTTCAAACAGGTGCAGTTAATACAGGTAATGAGTGGAGAACAGGAGGGCTTCTTAAAGAAAAACTAACAGGTCTGTGCTAGCCGGAATTCTTACTGGTTGGTAGGTGATCAAATACTTATGTCATGCAATAAAATGCAAATTAATTACTTAAAAATCATACAATGTGATTTTCTGGATTTTTGTTTTAGATTCCGTCTCTCACAGTTGAAGTGTACCTATGATAAAAATTACAGATCTCTACATGCTTTGTAAGTAGGAAAACCTGCAAAATCGGCAGTGTATCAAATACTTGTTCTCCCACTGTAGATACTTTTGTACGTGTTTCCTCCAGCATCTTCACAAGGTCCTTTGCTGTTGTTCTGGGATTGATTTGCACTTTTCCCACCAAAGTACGTTCATTTCTAGGAGACACAACGCGTCTCCTTCCTGAGCGGTATGACGGCTGCGTGGTCCCATGGTGTTTATACTTGCATACTATTGTTTGTACAGATGAACGTGGTACCTTCAGGCATTTGGAAATTGCTCCCAAGGATGAACCAGACTTGTGGAGGTCTACAATTTTTCTTCTGAGGTCTTGGCTGATTGTTTTGATTTTCCCATGATGTCAAGCAAAGAGGCACTGAGTTTGAAGGTAGGCCTTGAAATACATCCACAGGTACACCTCCAATTGACTCAAATTATGTCAATTAGCCTATCAGAAGCTTCTAAAGCCATGACATCATTTTCTGGAATTTTCCAAGCTGTTTAAAGGCACAGTCAACTTAGTGTATGTAAACTTCTGACCCACTGGAATTGTGATACAGTGAATTAGAAGTGAAATAATCTGTCTGTAAACAATTGTTGGAAAAATTACTTGTGTCATGCACAAAGTAGATGTCTTAACCGACTTGCCAAAACTATAGTTTGTTAACAAGAAATTTGTGGAGTGGTTGAAAAACGAGTTTTAATGACTCCAACCTAAGTGTATGTAAACTTCCGACTTCAACTGTATATGACAACTGAGTCTCTTGGATGTAGTGAAACAAATCCCTGTGCAGCTGTGAACAACCAGACAGTGTGTAGGTTAAGGTAGTGTACAGTATAGGAAGGAGCTTTGAGTGTATGTGTGCTAGGCAGATTTTAAAAAGCCCCGCTGATCACTTGCTCTTGTTCCTGTGTATCCCACACAGGCTGTTGCTGGTATTTAACTCTGATTTGACGCTCTCTCTCTAATCGCAGCAGCAGCCACGGTCGGTCTGTGTGGGCGGGCGGTGCAGCACTATATTAATCAGACCTCCAGAAATTATTCAACCTTACAGTCATTTGACAAATTCGGGGTGTTCATTAATTACAGTGCAATCGAAAAGTATTGACACCCCTTTACTTTTTTCACATTTTGTTACGTTACAGCCTTATTCTAAAATGGATTAAATTAAAAATGTTCCTCATCAATCTACACACAATACCCCATAATGACAAAGCAAAAACATATATTTATAAAATTTTTGCAAATGTATTAAAAATAAAAAACCGAAATACCTTAAGTACCCTTTGCAATGAGACTCAAAATTGAGCTCAGGTGCATCCTGTTTCCATTGATCTTCCTTGAAATGTTTCTACAACTTGATTGGAGTCCACGTGTGGGAAATTCAATTGATCTGACATTTATTGGTCCCAAAGTTGACAGTGCACGTCAGAGCAAAAACCAAGCCATGAGGTCGTAGGAATTGTCCGTAGAGCTCCGAGACAGGATTGTGTCGAGGCACAGATCCGGGGAAGGGTACCAAATAATGTCTGCAGCATTGAAGGTGCCCAAGAACACAGTGGCCTCCATAATTCTTAAATGGAATAAGTTTGCAACCACCAAGACTCTTCCTAGAGCTGGCCGCCCAGCCAAACTGAGCAATCCGGGTAGAAGGGCATTGGTCAGGGTGGTGACCAAGAACCTGATAGTCACTCTGAAAGAGCTCCAGAGTTCCTCTGTGGAGATGGGAGAACCTTCCAGAAGGACAACCATCTCTGCAGCACTCCACCAATCAGGCCTTTATGGTAGAGTATCAAGACGGAAGCCACTCCTCAGTAAAAGGCACATGACAGCTCGCTTGAAGTTTTCCAAAATGCACCTAAAGGACTCAGACCATGAGAAACAAAATTCTCTGGTCTGATGAAACAAAGATTTAACTCTTTGGCCTGAATGCCAAGCGTCATGTTTGGAGGAAACCTGGCACCATCCCTACGGTGAAGCATGGTGGTGGCAGCATCATGCTGTGGGGATGTTTTTCAGCGGCAGGGACTGGGAGACTAGTCAGGATTGAAGGAAGATGAAAGGAGCAAAGTACAGAGAGATCCTTGATGAAAACCTGCTCCAGAGCACATGACCTCAGACTGGGGTGAAGGTTCACCTTCCAACAGGACAACAACCCTAAGCACACAGCCAAGACAATGCAGGAGTGGCTTCAGGACAAGTCTCTGAATGTCTTTGAGTGGCCCAGCCAGAGCCCGGACTTGAACCAGATCGAACATCTCTGGAGAGACCTGAAAATAGCTGTGCAGCGACGCTCCCCATCCAACCTGACAGACCTTGAGAGGATCTGCAGAGAAGAATGGGAGAAACTCCCCAAATACAGGTGTGCCAAGCTTGTAGCGTCATACCCAAGAAGACTCAAGGCTGTATTCGCTGCCGAAGGTGTTTCAACAATGTCTTGAGTAAAGGATCTGAATACTTATGTAAATGTGATATTAGTCTTTTAATTTTTTATTTTTTTTAAACATTTCTATAAACCTGTTTTCGCTATGTAATTATGGGCTATTGTGTGTAGATTGATGAGGAAAACAAGTAATTTAATCAATTTTAGAATAATGGTCTAATGTAACAAAATGTGGAAAAAGTCAATGGGTCTGAATGCTTTCCGAATGCACTGTATGTTCCTTTCTCCAGGCTAAGTCATAAGGAGTTTTGTTGTGCTCTTTTTTTTCACTTTCTGTTAGTGTGGCTTGCGATAACAAGCAAAGTTTCCATAGCAACTCCACACGATCAAGATCAAAATAGATGTTGGGTTGTAGAAATATGTGTGAGGGGGAAAAAAAGTGAGAAAAAAATCTAGACATGCATTTATACTGTAGAAGTGGTGTGGTGGAACAAACTTTAAACATCCTTTTTAATGTGATAACAGAGCAGGTAGCTCCTTCCCCATCTCTTCTCACAAATGATCTTCAGGCCTACAACTACACTGAACAAAAATATATACGCAACATGCACCAATTTCATATAAGGAAATCAGTCAATCACATGACTTGGAATACAGATAATCATCTGTTGGTCACAGATACCTTTAAAAAAAGGTTGGGCGTGGATCAGAAAACCATTCAGTATCTAGTGTGACCACCATTTGCCTCATGCAGCGCGACACATCTCCTTCGCATAGAGTTGATCAGGCTGTTGATTGTGGCTTGTGGAATGTTGTCCTACTCCTCTGCAATGGCTGTGTGAAGTAGCTGGATATTGGCGGGAACCGGAACACGCTGTCGTACACCATAGCATCCCAAACATGCTCAATGGGTGATATGTCTGTTGAGTATGCAGGCCATAGAAGAACTGGGACATTTTCAGCTTCCAGGAATTGTGTACAGATCCTTGCGACATGGGGCCATGCATTATCATGCTGAAACATGAGGTGATGGTGGCGGATGAATGGCACGATAATGGGCCTCAGGATTTCGTCACGGTATCTCTGTCCATTCAAATTGCCATCAATAAAATGCAATTGTGTTCGTAGCTTATGCCTGCCCATACCATAACCCCACCGCCACCATGGTGCTCTCTGTTCACAACGTTGACATCGCCAAACCACTCGCCCACACGACGCCATATACGCTGTCAGTCATCTGCCCGGTACAGTTGAAATCCGGATTCATCCGTGAAGAGCACACTTTTCCTGCGTGCCAGTGGCCATCGAAGGTGAGCATTTGCCCACTGAAGTCGGTTAATTACGACGCTGAACTGCAGTTAGGTCAAGACCCTGGTGAGGACAACGAGCACGCAGATAAGCTTCCCTGGGATGGTTTCTGACAGTTTGAGCAGAAATTATTCGGTTGTGCAAACCTACAGTTTCATCAGCTGTCCGGGTGGCTGGTCTCAGACGATCCCGCAGGTAAAGAAGCCGGATGTGGAGATCCTGGGCTGGCGTGGTTACACGTGGTCTGCTGTTGTGAGGTCGGTTGGACGTACTGCCAAATTCTCTAAAACGACAATGGAGGTGACTTATGGTAGAGAAATGAACATTAAATTATCTTGCAACAACTCTGGTGGATATTCCTGCAGTCAACATGCCAATTGCACGCTTCCTCAAAACTTCAAATATCTGTGGCATTGTATTTCTTTTTATTTAACTAGGCAAGTCAGTTAAGAACAAATTCTTATTTACAATGACGGCCTACACCGGCCAAACCTGGACGACGCTGGGCCAATTGTGCACCGCCCTATGGGACTCCCAATCACGGCCGGTTGTGATACAGCCTGGAATCGAACCTGGGGGTCTGTAGTGACGCCTCAAGCACTGAGATGCAGTGCCTTAGATCGCTGCACCACACTGGAGCCCAATATTGTGTGACAAAACTGCACATTTTAGAGTGGCCTTTTATTGTCCCCAGCACAAGCTGCACCTGTGTAATGATCATGCTGTTTAATCAGCTTCTTGATATGCCACACCTGTCAGGTGGATGGATTATCCTGGGATCTTTTATTTCAGCTCATGGAACATGGGACCAACACTTTACATGTTGCGTTTATATTTGTGTTCAGTATAAAACACTTTACCCGGCAATAGGTCATATCACTATGCCTACGTCAATGTTCCTCCCTCCAAGGATAAAGGTAACTTGGGTAGCAAATGGGGTCAATGAAGTCCTCTATGAAAATAGAGTAGCGCTAGTATTGAAGTAGCCCTAGTTAACCAAGATCAAAATGTGGTTTATTACTCCTCTTAGCCCCATACAGAGTGGTTTAGAAATGTATATCCTACATTCCTCTTCTCTTTAATGTATCTCTCTGACAGTGGATCCAAACACCCTGTTCCGGTCCAACTCTCTAGCTTCTAAAGCCATGGAGCAGTTCATGAAGGTGAGTAGAATCCAGGAAATTCTCATCATGTTGTCTGGGCATGATCCCTCTGTCAATCCAACGTGTTAGCTTGATTCTCTCTTGACAGTCTCACTATGCTCTTACCGGTCCCACGGTAAAGCACGATAGCCTAGTCCTATAGACATGGGAATGACTTAAATCTAAGAACCACTATTGTTCTGAATAACTAGCATTAGCTGTGTAAACTGGCTGGATAAATAGTAAAAAAGCTTTGAATGGATGTTTTCTAAATGTGAGGTATTGTGCACTGGCAGGCTGTGGGGATGCTGTACCTTCATGAGGTCCTGAAGCCCATCATTAACCGCATCTTTGAGGAGAAGAAGTACATTGAGCTGGACCCGTGTAAAATTGATCTGAACAGAAGCAGGTAAACAGAAAATACTGGTGTCGAAATACAGGTGTGAAAATGATTGTTTACAGCCTCAGAGATATACTAGTTTCCTGGATAACAACACATAACATCTACAGTATATGAGACTTGCATCACAGCATAATACCCACCTACTCCACAGTGTGACTAGAGACGACAACATCAAGACAAGAAAAGGAATGTAAAAATGGGGGAAGTTTGTTGCCTGGCAACCAGAGAGAACCCCCCTGAGATGCCTATCTCTGACACCCACCCATCTCCAGTACCTATCATCCCTATATCTGCCCAGACCAGATCTGATCATTTACACAGACTGATCCTACATCTCCTTAGACTTAACCTGCTATTTACTGTACCACTATGCTATCTGTCCACATTTGTGCTCAAGTTTCCACAGACGGCATAACACTGATGCATCTATTGAGACATGAAATGTATAGATGTTGATGTATTGATTTGGCCAGTGCACAGACTTCATAATTAGTGACAATGCTGTCTGTACAAAGCAAAGGTCACAGTATGGGTCCCGCAGGCCCTTGTGTTTCAGAGCTCCATTGAATTGTCAGTATACATTTCATTTCAATGTAACACTGACTCCTCTCTTTTGCTCTGGAGGCGTATCTCATTTAAAGGTGCGGTGTCTGAGGCTGAGGTGAGGGAGAGCAGTGTGGAGATGCTGCAGGGCTATCTGTCCAACATCGTGGAGTCCATCGTTGGGTCAGTTACCCAGTGTCCTCCTGTCATGAGGGTGGCCTTCAAACAGCTGCACAAGGGGGTGGAGGAGCAGTTCCCTGAGCCAGAGAACAAGGTCTGTTTCACACCCAGAGGTCAAGGGGTCAAATTCAGCTACAAAGGTCACCTAGATTTCAATGCTGGATAGAGAATAGACATGGGGATGTTGTCAGTGCATTTATTTTCTTTTATTAATCTCTGTTGCACTCCTTCCCTCCTGGCCCTCTCCCCACAGGATGTGAAGTATCTGGCCATCAGTGGGTTTTTCTTCCTGCGTTTCTTTGCCCCTGCTATCCTCACACCCAAGCTCTTTCACCTGAGGGACCAGCATGCAGATACACGCACCAGCAGAACACTGTTACTACTGGCCAAGGTACTGTGCCCTTGCACGTACACACTCTCACGGACACACACACACACACACACGTGCACACACACACACACAAACGCACGTGCACACACACATGCACAGAACCCCCCCCCCCAAACAGACCGTTTTTATCCTACAACAGTGCCACACAGTCCTGCACAGTGAAACAGCAGTGGAGAATATAGTTGCTGTCCATGGTGCTGAAGTCCTGTTGCTATGGGTCCTCTACAGAGAATGTTCTATTTTTACCTCTGTGTGCGGCCAGGCTGGGGTTCAAAGCAGAGCTTCAGAGAGGGGTTTCCTCTGCGCCCCATGCCAGGTGTGGGCAGGACAAAGAGGGCCTCACAGCAAGCCTGCTCACTGGGATGTTTGATGTTACTCAGAGAGAGAGAGGGGTGTAGTAGTCTGTTACAGAAAGCACAAGCACATCCTGATTATACTGTGCTGCTCATTTAATATCAGAATTGATAACGATACTCCCTGTCCATTTGACAGATGGTAAGTTATGGTTACAGGAGAGAGTGGTGGGTGAACATGGCTGTGTTTCTCTGTGCGCCAGGCAGTGCAGAGTGTGGGGAACCTGGGTTTGCAGCTGGGCCACGGCAAGGAGCTGTGGATGGAGCCCCTGCATCCCATCATCCTGTATAGCGTGGCCTCTGTTAAAGACTTCCTGGACAAGCTCATCGACATCGACCACGATAGCGGTAAGAAGCACCAGCAGGACACTGTTTATTCAGTAATGCATAAGGCCTGGAGTTTTTCCTCACCATGTCACCAGACCAGGGGAAAATCTAGGCCCTAGTAGTAATGCATCAGTAGCCTGCTGAAGAGCAAGCAGGTAACCGTAGAGATCAGAGATAAGGTAGAGCCACTGGGTGGGGGGGGGGAACAGAACAGCAAAGTTTGGCTGGGCACCTATCCGGGCAGGCTAACCCACCAGGTGCCAGTGTGGCAAGGCCAGTTATTACTGGTATCAATAGATACAAAAGACCCACTGGTGAAATATTCATAGGCAGCTGGGAGCTGATACTGGGACTAAAATGGAGCGCGGTGGGCTGTGCGTGGAACTGTGGAGCCCTCGCCACCCCTACACACCCACTGTATACATAGCACACCTATGCCCTTTTCTCATCATCACGTGTCAGCGAGTCTGTTGTTGTGATCCATCTTACCCCTCTGAAATATCATGTTCCAATCTCCATGTCATCTCAGCACTTGATGTGAATGTGTTATGCAGGAGTGCATTTGTATTGTTCCATCTGTCTGAGGGTGTGCCAGTGTTAAATTTGGCACTCTTTTATAGATTTAGTCTAGTCTTAGTCATTTTGACTAAAATATCATTAAGTCACATTTTTGTCATTTGAATAATGATTTAGTCTAGTTATTGTTAAAATGACTAAAATAGTGGGCCATTTTAGTCAACAAAATGCCCTTTAATTTTAGTCACATCACATTTGTATTGCCACATTAACCTATAGGTGCACAAACATACATAGCCTTGTCCTGCCAACATATTGTTATGCATAACATCCTATTCTCTTCCCAACAGCAGAAATACTGTATGAAATAAGTCAGAGTAAATAGATATTGCACATTACATACAAAACAAACTGACACACGCAAGCGCAAACTGACACACACAATCACCAGATGGTTCCGCAAAGTATTGGCAAAGTAGTATGGGTTGGACCTCCGTCACTCGGTCACGTCATTGCCATTGTTATCAAGGTTCCACAGACGCCGCAGCCACATTGGTGTCCAAAAGTAAAAAGGGGGCTAATGACTTTGAACGGGAGCTAATGACTGTTTTGCCCAGTGATGTAGTAGAGTCACTAAACCTCAAGTCCGAATCAAGTCTCGAGTCTCAGTCCAAGTCCGAGTCACCAATGGTTGAGACACGAGTCCCTATGGCTGAAGTCTGTGTCCCAGTGCTTGAGTCCTGGTCCAAGTGCTCAAGTCTGAGTCACTGGGTCCACATTAAATCAAAAGAAAGTTATTTATCCAGTCAGATATAGTGTAGTGGCAAGAGGAATTTAGTCTATTAATTGTTTGCTATCCCTTTCCTTTCTGTGCCGCCAAATGTTTGCATATAGGCTACTAGTAATGTTACATTTACATTTTAGTCATTTAGCAGACGCTCTTATCCAGAGCGACTTACAGTGAATGCATACATTATTATAGTTTTTTTAATATATACTGGCCCCCCATGGGAATCAAACCCACAACCCTGGCGTTGCAAACACCATGCCCTACCAACTGAGCTACATCCCTGCCGGCCATTCCCTCCCCTACCCTGGACGACGCTGGGCAAATTGTGCGCCGCCCCATGGGTCTCCTGGTCGCGGCCGGCTACGACAGAGCCTGATGCAGTGCCTTAGACCAATGGACCACTGGGTTACCAGGGCCACGTTCAGTTCCAAAACGTTCTTGAACGTTGCAGATAGAAATGCCATGAACAGAACCAATGTTATTCCTTATTCAACATATCAGAGAGGCATGTTTGTTCTACATAGCTTATTTCTATCTGAACGTTCCAAAACGTTGAGTCCTGCTGAACGTGTGTCAGGTTGGCTATAGCTAGCTAATGAGGTAGCATGACTGAACAAGGTGTAGCCTAAACAAAGGGTTAACGGTCAGGTCCGCAAGTAGCCTAGTTTTAGAACGGCCTGAGATATGCTTTATGAATGTAAAATACTGCCCGCCAATGCACGACAGAAAAAAAATAATCATAGCGTCATATCTTTTGAAAGGTAAGGGCTAGAATCAAGCCGTTTTCTCTGAGGAAAAGAGTGAGACTTGGCTACGTTGGCTACAGAACCTGGCTATGAAATGGGAGGGTTGAGCTTACTCAAGCGAGATAAAAACATAGCTAGACTGTTGTTTTACTATTAAACTTAATGCGGTTATGCGTTGTAATTTCGTAAAGAAGCTTGTGTTTCCCAACCAGGCAAAGGGTAGCTAACTAGAAGGATGGTGGTGACTGGTTAGCTATGGGGAAGCAAGAGAGTCGCCTGCGCGATGTGTATAATCCGTGCAGGAGCAGAGCCTGTCTGCCTGTCTTCCCACACATCGCTTGTTCCCACGCAGCTGATGTGTGCCGGGTGTGGCGCGTCCTTCCCATTGCTGAACAAAACTGCGACTACGCTGCGCGTTTGTGCTGCTAATATTAATTGTGCTTATCACTGAAAAGCTCTAAATCTCTCCAAAAACTATTGTCCAGTCCACTTACTAGTTGTCAGATTTTAGTCACCGAGATGATTTTGTCTCCTGTCGTTTTAGTCAACTGAAAAAAAGAAAGAAAAGTTTAGTTATAGTTTATTCTGTGTATATTTAGTCAGTTATAGTCTAATCAATTGCCACTGAAAAATAGGTGTTTGACTGACTTGGGCAGGAGCTCACCAGAGCTGAGTACCAGCACCTCAAATGTTCTACTGCTTGAGCTCCTGTTTCTCTTATAGAATATTAGCTCAAAAGTATTGTGGCGCGCCTGCACCTAAATATAAACAGTACCGGCACCCAACATGAGTACCAGCACCAATTTCAGTCCAAGTCCAAATATTTCAGTCACTATTTTTGATGAATTTAACACTAGGGTGTGCTGAACACAAGGGTGACTAGGGAGGCAAGATGACACAAACAAAGATGTACAATGAGATAATGCATAATGTGCTGTAATGTAATTCATCAGTATGTATACATTAACCATAACTATACTGCTACAGCTCCACCTTGTGTCCATATTGCTAAAAAGTAGAACTTCTGTTTCTGTGCTCCCCTTTATCACCCATCTTATTTCTCTCTTCCTTTCTCACACCCCCTTCCCCTTCCCCTCCGTCACTGTACCTCTTCCCTTTTTTTTCTCCCTCTCTTTTCTCTCTCGCTCTCTCTGTCTGTCTGCAGTGTCTGAGGTGCCCCAGAGGGCTGTGTTCCTGCCCTCAGTGACAGTGAAGGAGGGATATCTCCAGAGGCACAAGGCCGAAGGCCCCCAGCTCCTGTCCCGCTTTTCCTTCAAGAAGCGATACTTCTGGCTGAGCAGTGAGACGCTGTCCTACGCCAAGACCCCGGACCCCTGGCAGGTCTGATCCCCACATACACTCTCTACAGAAACCTACCCATGACCAGCTCTAATGGCAATTCCTCCACTCTGTTACGTCAGATAAAGACGGACAAGAAAACATTAAGGATCAAAGTCCTCTGAAAGTAACTCATTATAACAAGGTAACACAATTTCCTCTGGTGATGAATTGGCTCCTGTACCCTTCAAAGGGTGTTTGATCGTCATCCTGCCTCATAAAAAACAACAACATTTTAATCATCCCTCTGCCTTCATTTATTTGTGTTTCTCTCTGTATGACAACATCATTAGTGGGTGGCTATTATCATGTAATGCCCAGTCTTTTGATAATGAGCTTCTCTCATTTGCCTAGTCAGTCCAGGACAGGAGTGGGGATGAGGGAGAGGGAGAGATTGAAATGGGGTAGAAGGGGAAGGAAGAGAGAGGGACAGAGAGCAAGTGAGCGAAAAAGAGAACAAGAGAGAGGGGGGAGAGTGAGAAAGAGAGGGATAGAGATAGGGAGGGGGGGGGGGGCAGAGAAAGAAAGAGAGCGAAAGAGAGAGAGAGAGATGTAGGGAATAGGCCAGTAAAAGAGGGTTCTCTTTGAACAGGCTTCTTCCTTTGTGTGGCTGGAATAAAGGCTAGGTTAATTGAAGGCTGTGGATATTCATACTATCGTTGCAAATCCAACTGTGGACAATATCCCCTCGCCCCTCCCACTGTGCTCTAGCCTGAGTGAGGCAGGCTCCCCATGGAAGTGGCTGATTTACACATTAAAGCAGCCTTTCTGACATTTTTCTCCTGCCCTGCTCTCTCACACTTTCTTCTCCATCTCTCCACAACTCTTTTCTTTTCAGTCCTTTTTCTTTGAAAAATGGTCTTGAATTGCATAATACTTAATAAAAAGTAGGGGAAGGATGAAAGCAGACATACTGTATCTACTGTACCCGTAAGGGTGGCACTTGAAGCCGGGCCTAAACTCGCCTGAGGAATATAGCTGATAGCTGAATGATTAATTTGATGTGTATTTGCCTGCATCAGAAAATTACCTCCAAAGAGTAATACAGGAGTGCCACATGGAGATGTGTGTATACTGATACTGTGTTATGTGTGTATCCTGCAGGTGCGCTCCTCCATTCCCATCCAGTGTGTGTGTGCTGTGGAGAGAGTGGATGAGAATGCCTTCCAACAGCAGCATGTGATGCAGGTCGTCACTCAGGACAACGATGGACAGATGCACACAATCTATATCCAGTGCAAGGTACTGACAGACCTCCAGTCACTGACCACACTATTACTGACCACACCAGTACTGACCTTGACTGGGTTGACTTTGTGGTGCTTTCTTTTCATCACTGTGATGTTTGAGTATAGTCATGGAAATACCTGTTCTCTGTGGTTTGTGTGTACGCTGGGACTGACCTGAGTGTTGTGTATGTCTGTCTGTGTCTGCAGAATGTGAATGAGTTGAACCAGTGGCTGTCAGCCATCAGGAAGGCCAGTATCTACAACAGGCGCATGCTGCCCTCCTTCCACCCGGGGGCATACCGCAGTGGCAAGTGGACCTGCTGTCTAAAGGCCGACCGCACTAGTAATTAAAATATTGACTTATGTAGGAAGCTTTGTTAAAGTACCACACACACATAACATGTTAGTGCTTCCTTAACACTTCATAATTATATTTTTATCTCACATTTATGTGCACTACTCTTACACCAGCCCATATTTGTTTGCTCACATAGACTGAGAATCTCACAGACAGAGTAGAAAAGTGAATACACTGTATGGCCCCTCTCTCTTGTTCAGCTTTAGGTTGCAGTCGCACTCACTCTGCAGTGACTCTGGGTGACTGGAGTGACCCACTGGATCCAGACGCAGAGACTCAGACCATCTACAAACAGCTTCTTCAGGGAAGAGAAAAGCTCAGGTCAGTGGCATACACTTTGACATGAGACATTTGAAGGCTATGATAAACCTTCTCAGACAGACAGACAGGGTGCAGTTCATTTACTTGTCACAAGGGGTCTACATTGCAACACTAGGACTACTTTTATTCATTAGAATATAGCCTGTAACTCAGGAACACATCAGTGTGGATTGTTATGTTCAGCCTCTCTCACACAATGTTTTCAAACTCTGTTACACACTGTCTAAACATTGATAAACATGCTGATCAGTGTGTTAATGTAAGTGTGCTGTGCTGTGCTGTGCTGTGCTGTGCTGTGGCCTGGGCTGTGTGCTAACAGGAAGCAGTATGTGGAGGTGGAGGCTGAGATGACCACAGAAGAGAATAGACTGAACTCTGGGCAGCTCCCTGGTGAGAGACTGTCAAAGCAGTGCCTTTTTTAATATGCAGTTTGAACAGTTGTAACACCTTAGCTGTCAGAGAGGTTGCTTCCCTAGACCCTTGTACTGTCATTTAAAGCATTCACATTGCTTCAAATATCTCTCTCTCTCTCTCTCCCCCAGATGGAGCAGACTGTAGTGTGGAGCTCCTGAAGCACAGGCAGGCTGCAGCGGCTCGGCTACTGGGAGTGGTTCTGGATCTGGAGCAGGCCCATGATGCCTTCCAGCGGCAGGAAAGAGAGGAGGCCGGCAGCCTCATCCTGACCCCTTAGACTGGGCCTTCCCTGGGGCCTGAGCCCGGGTCTGAAGGGGAGAGCAGCGTCCTGCATCAGACTCAATGGAGTAGGAAAGCTAAGCGACCACAGAAGGAAGCCAGCCTCTCCCTGCTCCCTGTCATGTTGTCTGTTACATGTGATGTCTAGAGGAACTCTCTTCTCATCCAGATCACTTCTTCATAAGCCAGAATGAAGAGGATGCCCACTCTGCAACATTCTTTTCCTGGGACGTTTGATATCACACACACAGGTTTTCAGCTGTGGCAGAGGGATTATCTAGTGAAATAACTGATTGCCACAGGTCTTGCATGCAGATGGACTGCCACATAAACTTCTGTTACTCTCCCAAAGCTTGGGTTCTTATCGATTGAGCAGGACACAAACTGTTATGTGGAACTGAGTTGAAGCAGGGGCATACATGGAGTGTGTCCTTCGGTGGTACTGCATTATTGTATGGCTATCAAGGAATGTAATGCATGCCCTGCATCCAGCATCTGTGAAATGTGAAGAAAATGTGTTTATATTCAATATCATTATACGGGTCGTTTCAGCAATTCGGTGCCTTTTGAGAAGTGCAACTTGGTAAAAAAATACTTTTGATTTCACCTCATTTTAACATTCTGTCATAAAGAGCAGATGTAAAAAAAAAAAAAAGTACTATAGTAAGTGTCAAATAAAGTAACAGGGTTGACGATTTCGTCTTAAATCAGCCATAAATCCCCATTTGACAAGGGGAATGGAACAGGGAGTGGCAATTGAATGCAAGCTTCCCATTTTTATTGATTTATTGTTACATTTCTAGCCTGTCTATCTATGGGTAACACTAATAAATAATAATCTTCAGAAATTACTTTGTCAGAGCAACAATAACAAGGGCTTTACAATGATGGTGAAAACTTCAAGAAATGTTGGGGTTAAGTGGGTTAAAAACTTCCTAGAAGTCACAGAGGGTGCACGGAGGGACATGTCAAAACACTGAATTTTGGCACTTTAGCAAGTCTTTATTCATATAAAAAAATCGGATTTATTTAATTATCCATGTGGTCTATATTAAATGATACTTCATTTAATATAACAGGCTGTTAAAATTAAATATTGGTGCACAATTACTACTTAAAATATCAAAGGGATGCAAAAGGCACTGTTTTCGTGGAACGACCCATACCTTGGAGGACGATTATGCAATCTACTCTAGTTTTAATCTACCTGAATGTATGCTATTTTGTTTTATTGATGTTTTGTACTCTCTCATTTATATATTTCAATTGAGAACAACCACAATGTAGCAGTAAGATTGTGCTGGTGTTCATATTACTGAGGGTAATGCCCTGTGAGATGCCTAAGTAAATGTTTTTAATACAATAACACACACGCCATAATTGCCTGAACAGTCACTTGTTTGCTATTAGTATATTGTTTTCACTGTTGCCATAGTGAAGCTTGTGTTTGGTGCTGTTGCTCCGTGGATTTATGGGAAGTAACTCAAACTCAAATTTGTGGCTTTGATATGAAAAACATATTTTACATGGTCCACAGTTGATTGGTTAATTGTTAAAAACATGTCTTTGAAGCAGTACTACTGACAATATTATACAGTGGATCAAGTGACATGTTTGCTCTTCTCCTCAGGTCATTGTATTTGAAGTCATTTTAAGACAGCTGATTTTGAGTGAAGTGTCATACAGTAACTGTCATTCCTTTGTACTTAATGGAATTGAACATATGTAGATCATTTCTGTTCTACTCTAGTTGGGATCCCATCACCCTCTGTAGAGAGCTTATGATGTTTGAGCGTATCCTGTCTTAGCCATTTCATCATTAATGTACTCTACATTATATTTTATATACTGTACCTTATATTTTGTATACATGTATGTATTCCCTACAATATTGACCAAATTCAGTTTGCTGGTTTTGAGCTAAGCTCAGAGGAGTAGAGATGTGTGTTCTTGCACATTGATGAGTTGTCAAACTCCAAGTGTGTGAGTTGAGTTGCGTGGAATGGCGTGCACCATTGAAAATGCTTTCTGTGGAGGTGTGGAAGATGTTTCAAATGCCAAACTGCATTTGATGCCATGACAAATTGTGTGCTGTCTTTATTTTAGTAGTACTTTCTTTAATTTGTAACAAGGAAGATTTTTTTTTTGATCAGTCTTGTCAATTCAAGAAAGAAAAGTGAAACTTATTGGAATGTTACAATTACACTGTTATCAAATTATGTTACTGTTATCCGAATAGATTTACCTATTATTGTAATCTGTTTTGTAAATTGTATTATCTACATTCCAAATTGTATTTACCTTGGCTGGCTATATTTGGAAGGTTATTATAGACCACTGTTGAATTCCACTGAATTTCATTAAGCAGTCTCTCAAGTTCAAATCTGGACAAATATTGATTGTTGCTCGTTGACTTGTTATTTGCTGAAAGAGGGCTGCAATTTAGAAAATGAGCTTACATTTTATATTGCTGACACAAAATGACTGCATGTACAAAGTGGATGGTTACAGATGGGTGGTAACATCAGCTGTATTACTGTGAACTGTTGAAAATATTGAGTAAAATGTAATGTTACCGCTACTACTTAGTTTGAATCTGTGTTCATGCACACACTGAAAAATCTTTTGAACTTACAATCAGTCGTGTTTTTGTAAGAGGCGTTGGATGGTCTGGAGATACTCAGTGCTTGACTTAGACTGAAATAGGTGCTGGTACTCATGTTGGGTGCCAGTACTGTTTATAAGGTGCAGAGCTCCACAATACTTTTTAGCCAATATTCTATGGGCCCGATTCTGACTTAGGAAATTATGCCTTTCTTACTGGTGCCTTTCCTACACACTTCTCAGTAGTTGGTATTCAGACTTACCTTTTGAAGATGCTTAATGGGCTTTGCAGGCGTGGTTTCCTTGTTCACGCTGAGTAAATGTAATTCAACTGCTGAAAACCCTCCCACTTGCTGGCCAACAGATTAGTTTTAATTCAATAGGGTTTTCAGTACATTTATCTTAAGCCATCCCTTTAAATATGGTGTGCCTCTTAGTTTGAATTTTGTCAACAGACTCAATAGAATACTGTATATGCTTATTTGTCTCCGTTTCAACACCAATTGGAAGATTTACAAATACTCTGATCTTATTTAGGGTAAGGAAAGTACTTATAAATCATAAGAAAAACAGGTTTGGCAAACTTTTACACTCGAAAAGAAAGAAAACGGTGGTATGATTCATTCTGAAAATTTCCACATTCAGTTCTTTAACCCATGGTAATGTTGGAAGATTACTGTATATATAATTATAAAGGGAGAATAGTGTACAAAAGTAGGCTATAGTAGACTATACCCTAGTCTATTGCCTGCACTAACCATGGAACTGTGTGATGACACAGCCAAGTATTGCACCATGAATCTGGTTCAAACTGTTACGGCTTGGTCTACGCTCCCCTCTCCATAACTATTTAATTAGCCTCATTGGCGACCCGTCATTCAGGGCAGGCGGGGCAGAGCCCCACCTGTTTTGAGCCCCACCTGTTTAGCAAAAAAAAAAGTTATATATACAGATCTGGAAATAATTAAGAGACCACTGCAAAAATATAAGTTTCTCTGGTTTTACTATGTATAGGTATGTGTTTGGGTGAAATTAACATTTTTGTTTTATTCTATAAACTACTGACAACATTTCTCCCAAATTCCCCCCCAAAAGATTGTCATTTAGAGCATTTATTTGCAGAAAATGACAACTGCTCAAAATAACAAAAAATATGCAGTGTTGTCAGACCTTGAATAATGCAAAGAAAATAAGTTCATGTTCATTTTTAAACAACACAATACTAATGTTTTAACTTAGGAAGAGTTCAGAAATCAATATTTGGTGGAATAACCCTGATTTTCAATCACAGCTTTCATGCGTCTTGGCATGCTCTCCACCAGTCTTTCACATTGATGTTGGGTGACTTTATGCCACTCCTGGCACAAAAATTCAAGCAGTTCGGCTTTGTTTGATGGCTTGTGACCATCCATCTTCTTCTTGATCACATTCCAGAAGGTTTCAATGGGGTTCAGGTCTGGAGATTGGGCTGGCCATGACAGGGTCTTGATCTGGTGGTCCTCCATCCACACCTTGATTGACCTGGCGCATTGTCCTGCTGGAAAAACCAATCCTCAGAGTTGGGGAACAATGTCAGAGCAAAAGGAAGCACGTTTTCTTCCAGGACAACCTTGTACGTGGCTTGATTCATGCCCAATTCCAGCCTTGCTGAAGCACCCCCAGATCAACACCGATACTCCACCAAATTTCACAGTGGGTGAGAGACACTGTGGCTAGTAGGCCTCTCCAGGTCTCCGTCTAACCATTAGACGACCAGGTGTTGGGCAAAGCTGAAAATTGGACTCATCAGAGAAGATGACCTTACTCCAGTCCTCTATGGTCCAATCCTTATGGTCTTTTGAAAACCTCAGCCTGGCTCTTCTTTGCTTCTCATTGATTAAGGGCTTTTTTCTAGCTTTGCACGACTTCAGCCCTGCCCCTAGGAGCCTGTTTCGAACTGTCCTCGCCGTGCACTTCACCCCAGCTGCCGTTTGCCATTCTTTTTGTAGGTCACTTGATGTCATCCTATGGTTGTTGAGTGACATTCGAATGAGTTGGCGGTCATCCCGGTCAGTAGAGTCGTTTTCGCCCTCTGCCGGTCTGTAGCATTGTTGTCCCCAATGTCCGCTGCTTGACCTTGTTCTTATGAACCGCCGTCTTTGAAATTTTAAGGATGGAAGCAACCTGACGCTCACTGTATCCCTCTGCCAGTAAAGCCAGAATTGAACCCTTCTTTTCCTAAACTCAAAACTTTCTTTTTCAACTCTTTTGGCATGGTCAATAGTTATTTTTTGATTAATATTACTTTTGAGGTACTATTAGCACTGTTTTTGCCATCCAGCTGGTCCTATTGCAAGAGGATAGTGATGACCACAGCAGTGTTTTTTATACTTTTCCTCGTTAAATAAGATT